GAATTTTTTTTCATTTAATTTTCCCTTGCGCGAATATTTTTTTTTGTACTTCGCCCGCCCCCCCCCCCCCCCCCCCCCCCAATTTTTTTTTGTGTCCCCCCACACGCCACACCCTTTTGTCTTTTTTGGGGGGGTTAAATCACTCCACCGGGTTTGGACCAACCTACTTTTTTTTTTTCTCAAAACTGGCGGGACACCGAGAGTTGCTTTGAAAAAAAAAACCCACCTTGGTGGGGGGTTGGGGGGGGGGGGGGAATTTTTGGGCCGCAGGAATTTTTTTTTTTTATTAAATTTTTTGTGTGAATTTTTTTTTTGGGCATAGTATGAAATTTTTTTTTGGATTAATTGGCGTGGATTAATTTTTTTTCATTTTATTTTTCCCTTGCCGAATATTTTTTTTTTTTCTTCGCCCCCCCCCCCCCCCCCCCCCCATAAGTTTTCTAATGGTCCGTCCCTAAGGTCACATTGATCTGGCTTTTGAGGAATGCATAAGTCATCCGATCGGGTTTCAACGAACCTATTTCTATTCTTACCAATAGCGAGTGACCGTGACACGTGTTTGCAAATAAAAGCTCATACCGTTGTGGACGTGCGTCATGTCTCGTTGGCTTATGTGGCCGTTTTCGAAACAATTGAAAGCGTTTACCTTCGTATTTATATATTTTCTACTCGTATTGAGTTGCAGCTTTCTGGTGAATTTATTTTCCTCTTACGGGTTTTTCAGCGATAGAATTCCTAAACCTGACGGAAGGCTCAGAACTTTGAAGGAAGGTGAAAGTGCTACCAACAAAGTTAACAACTGCCCTCAAGCTCTGGATATATTGCCAGATTTCATCGAGTGTAAAAGGGGAACATTGCTCTACTCTGCGTGGTTTGATGATCGATATGCTGAAAATTATATCCAGGTTTTGTTAATGACTTCACGCAGAAAACAACCACCGCCTCTCTCATGTCGTTTCCAAAATGGGTCAACTTCTTCTATCTCTGTAGGAGCTGTTACTCCGTATTATGAAATCAACAAACGATACAGCAACAAACGTTATGGTCTCTTTGTAGCGTCCTGCATTCTTCCGAAAGATTTGGTCAGCTTACCGAAAATTGTTAACATCTCGATAGCTAACGAATGTACGGTTGTTTTACCTGTGGGAAACACAAGGAAAGAGACATCTTGCAAGAGAGATTACGGAATTTGCATTCCTCCGATATTTGGAAATATTCGAGTCGCCGATGTAGTTGAGTTTCTAGAAATGTCGCAACTTTTAGGAGCGTCATATTTTACATTTTATGACAACAATATATCTCAAAGCGTGAGGAAAGTGCTTACTTACTACGAAAGAAAAGGGTTAGCACAAGTTCTTCCTTGGAGTTTACCCGCTTATATTACAGATCAAGATGTCCATTACCATGGGCAAATTTTTTCCATACAAGACTGCTTGTTCCGGTCAATAAATCGCCTCAACTTCGTTGCGTTCAACGATTTAGACGAGTTTATAAGCCCGCTTCAGAATAAAAGCATGCCTTCTCTACTTTACAGTATCCACGACTCTAACTATTGCGGCCACTGTTTTACAAGCGCAATGTTTCCCACTGTAGATAGCTTGACTCAAAACTATTCTCTTTTCACTCAAAACGTTCTACATCGTTCGCCGCAAGCTGATTCGTCACACACCAAATGCGTTGATGATCCACAAAGAGTGTTTGAGCATGGAGTCCATCTTATCATGCAACCATTCGAAGGCTACAAAACTAACCATGTGAACTGGAACAAAGCTAGAGTTTTCCATTACAGAAAATGTCAACCACCATGTAACTCGGCCGCTGATATGAAAGATACAACCATGCAGAAATACAGCGAGCAATTGAAAAAGAATGTGATTACAAGCTTTGTTGAGTCCAAGGTCTTTAATAGTTCACATTAACTACCTTACATTTATCTAGGAAGATCGAAGGGCCTCTGCTCGCAGGGTACCCTACATCGAAATCCTGAGTAGTGATAAATATAATAATAATATAATAATACCTTTATTTATTACCTTTGGCGATAAGAATTGCGGTAATATTACAATAAGAATTCAAAACACTACATATTATATATACATATCAAATTAAGTTAAGTTTAGCACCCCTAGCAATAAACGATTGTTTGTGCCTAACATAACAGTGCGTGATACAGGTATTCTGAGGTGCGCTGGGTTAGTCTTACAAGATCTTAGATTATGACCATGATCCACTGGCTTGTCTAAGAAACGTTTGCAAGGATGTGTTTCTGATTCTAGGATACGCTTAAATTCTTTCCTCGTCAAATTCTGACGCCTAGTTACAAGTGACTCAACAGTATCCCTAGGGAGACCAATGACATTTAGTCATCTATTCTGCACTCTCTGTAGATCTTCTTCGAGGTAAATGGGCAGCCCTCCCCAGACAGGCGAGGCATATTCTAAAACAGGTCTAATCTTAGTGATGTAAGTTGTAAGACCAATGTCCCTGGGGAGATGGGCTG